TTCCTCCTGGTCTTCTGAGCCCAGGGTTCTCTAGTGTTGTGGCCTTTATCACCCACGGCCCTCTCAGTAACCACATAAGCACCGGCAGCCATTGACTCAGTGGTGACTATTCCAGCTGAAAACAGGAACCACAGGCTATAGATAGGGCGGTTCGTGATGCTGCATCAACCAGTAGCAGGTGCCCGAGGCCCAGGAACCTGAATCTCATAACACACACAAGGACCCGCCTTTCCTTGGCTCTCTCTTGACAGTTTGGGTGATTGGTTACTGAGGTCCCCTTTTTGTGAGAGTCAGCAGTATTGGAGATGAGATTTCTTGCTTGTGCTGGAGGAGACAAAGCCATCAGTGATCAGGTAATGATAGTGAGGGCTGTGGGTGGAGGGATGGACAAATGGTGTGGCAATGATGCCAAAGAGGGCTTGTTCTAGTGACAAAAGAGCTGATGGCTTAACAAAACTAACCAACTAACATTTATTTTGCTCAGGAATCTGCATTTGGACTGGGTTTAGTGTGGATATCTCCCCTCAGCTCTCCTTGATGGCAGAGGAGGCTTGAAGCCTGGAGCCTGCCCAGTGGCTGGTGCCTGATGTCTGTGGGCATGTCCGTTCCCCTCTGTGAGGGTCTGTCATGTAGTCTCTGCATGGGATTGTTCAGTCTTCTTTTCAGCATGATGGTGGCTTCCGCAGAGTGAGCCTCTCTTCCAAATCGACCCTGGCAGACGTATTCTTTTCCCCCCCTAGGCCTTGTAGCCATATGGTATCCTTTCTTCCTTAGTCTACCCCGTGGGGGCAATCAAAAGCCCTCACCCAGATTTAAAAAGGAAAGAGCATTGCAGTCATGTAATAGAGCCTGTGGATGGGAGATACATGGTGGGAGTCAAAGCAGCACACAATCGGCCCCCTGCTGAGGTACATGTAGAGTCAGTGAGAGGAGCTGAAACCACGGACCCCTATAAGCCTCGGCCAAAGCCTTTGGAGAGGTTGGGGTCTGCTCTGTCCAAACCACGTGTATGAGAATGGAAGAGGGTTGACTGTCCCAACAGTCACTCTTTTGTGAAGTGGGAAAGAATACAAGGAAGCCAAATAATATTCTCCCAGCACTGTCCAGATGACTATATATTTCGGATATCTTTATACCAAGCTAATATATGTATTTAATTTGATTCCAATAAAAATATCATTTTTCTTCCAGTGTTACACAAGTTCTAGACAATTTCTAAAATATATGTGGAAAATAAACATGCTAGAATAGCTCTGAAAATTTTGACAAAATAAAAAAAGACAATAAGGGAGAGGGTAAGCCTTATCAGATATTAAAAACATTATATAAAACTTCCTTCCTGGTTCATGAGTAGACAGAGGCCCTTTAAACAGAATAGAAAACCTAGAAACTTTCCCAAGTACATAAAGATATGTAATTTATCATAATGTGGCATTTCAAATCATTGGGAAAAAGATAGACTTTCTAATAAATGATATTGGAACAACTAGAAAATATTTTTTCTTTGTTTTATTTTCCAATCAGAGTTGACAAAGTTGCTTTTAAAAGATATTAAGTTGGAGTCATATTTCATATAAACCACCAGAATGAAATGCAAATAGGTAAGACACTTACATATCCTATATAATAAAGAGCTAATATGCTAATTAGACCGAACAGCAGAACAACCATCCGGAGGACATTCTGGATGAAGCTGGGGCTGCGAGGGCCAAGCCCCTTGCGTGAATTTCATGCTTCGGGCCTCTAGTACAAAAAAAACCCATACATGCACTATGAATAAACATGGATGAATTTCTATATAAACTTAGAAGGGGGTAAAGCCTTTCTAGCAATGACTCTAAATACAAAAACTTTAAAAGAAGTGATTGATAAATACATTTTGATATGTAAAAAATAAGTTTTACAAGTCTCCACTTTCCTGACCACGGGAGCCTCCCTAATTTGAATTGGATTGTGCACAGGCAGGAGCTTTTGATAATGAGTGGGACCATGTCCAATTGAATGGTGTTCAGAGGCAGATTCTAACTGCCATTAGCAGATACATTGTAGGATTGTCCTGCCATTTGATTCTGTACAATTGTTAATGGGTGAAAATGGGGTGCTCAATGGTGGAAGTGGGGGATGCCTTTCCCAACTGGGTGCTGGGGGTAGGGTTCTTATGATAGCTTTAGAAAATGAATTTTCTAAGACTTGTACAGGAGAATGAGTGAATTTTATTTGCATGGAATTATATCCCTCAGTTGCAAAATTCTCATTTCCTTTAAACTGGACCTGGGGAAGGTGCAGCTGGGGATTCAGCAGAGCTAGAAGCAAAGCCAGTGTCCAGAGGTTGCATTCCACGGTGGAGTAAGTCCTGCAGAGCATCAGGCTGGTTGTAATCCATTAGTTCACTGAGTGTGGGCCATGTGGGCCAATGCAGGGGAGCAGGCCCTCTGCCACAAGAGAGCCAGGAGCTCAAGAGGCCGAGAGAGGGAGCTCTGTTTTTCCAGGAGCTTATGTAGCTCAGATTTGGTGCCATTGCAGGGCCACGTCTATTCTGGCCAATGACCTGCTCCCAGGTGTGACTGACAAGTAACCACTTTTCCTATGGCATTCAGACTTACTGGGTATGCTTCTATTCTTTCTTTGTCCAGTCCCTTCTCCCAGGATCTGTGGGGAACAGACCTGGAGAGTGTGAAACTGCAGCTTCTGGCACAAATGGCATGCCTATATTATCAGGCCTTCCCTTTGCTTTGTTCCTGTCAATTAATTAACAACTGGGATAATTATAACAGTATCACAATGACATTCATGCCTGCTACTTTTACTGTATTTTAAATTGTATTTTCCAATTACAGTCCACTTTCAATATTATTTTGTATTAGTTTCAGGTGTACAGCATAGTGATTAGATAAATTATATACTGTACAAAGTGTTTCTCCTGATGTTTCCAGTACCCACCTGGCACCATGCATAGTTATCACAATATTATTGACTGTGTTCCCTTTGCTGTACTTTGCATCCTAGTCACTATTTTCTAACTACCAGTTTGTACTTATTAATCTTTTCACTTTTTTTTGCCTGGTCCCCCTAACCCAGCCATGGGCAAACTACAGCCCGCGGGCCGGATCCAGCCCGTTTAAAATGAATAAAACTAAAAAAAAAGACCGTACCCTTTTATGTAATGATGTTTACTTTGAATTTATATTAGTTCACACAAACACTCCATCCATGCTTTTGTTCCGGCCCTCCGGTCCAGTTTAAGAACCCATTGTGGCCCTCGAGTCAAAAAGTTTGCCCACCCCTGCCCTAACCCCTTCCCCTCTGGCAACCATCAGTCTGTTCTTTTTATTTATGAGTCTGTTTCAATTTTGTTTGCTCATTAACTTGTTCTTTAGATTCTACATATAAGTGAAATCATATGGTATTGGTCTTTCTCAGTCTGACTTATTTCCCTGAGTATAATACCCTCTAGGTCCATCCATGCTGTCACCAATTATATCTGCTACTTTTATGGCTCATGGAAATGAGGCTGCTGCCCTGCCTGCTCCCCACCTGCTGCCCTCTCCCCGAGGTGAAGAGGATGAGCCAGTGAACAGTTTGGGGGCTGCATGTCTAGAAATGAAAGAAATAAAGTCTTTTCCAAAGCCCACATGCTGCTGTTCTAGAGTCTCAAGTGATACAATTAAAGCAGAGTGTAATGAGCAATAAAAATAAAACACAAATACTCCTGTGGGATCTGGGCTCTGTGGGTTCATGTGAAGGAGGGAGAGGAAATTACATTCAGATAAAAGTCAACACTGTCAGTTTCACTTGTGTTCAGGTGTCAGAACCTGTATTATGTTCACTGTACATGACCAATGCCTGGCACTTAATAGGTGGACAATCAGCATTTGTTCACTGATTGATGGAAAAACTGCTTTCCAGTCCTACTGCAGAGAGCAGCCCTTTCTAACTCAAAAGGTAGGTAGAGCTCATGGTGGCCAGCACGCAGCCTGAGCCTTGAGGCCAGCAGTGAGGAACAGGCCGCAGGGGACAAAACCTCCGGAGTGACCAGCAGTCAGTGGATTCTGAGCACGTGGTGGGGACACTGGACTAGATGTGAGGGTGGAGCTGGCTCTGCCCAGTGAGAGATGGGGCCAGGTGTTCTGCAGACACCCTGCTGCCTTGTCCTCCGGGGCCCTGCATGGGGCGAACACATGGGGTAACCCTCTGCCAGGGCATAAGCTGGGTGGCAACTCAGTGACCAGGCCCTGCTGGAACCTGGGCACTCTGGGTGTCCTCGGTGGGAGGGATATGCAGAAGTGGGAGCTCAGACCAGTGCGGTCTGTGGGATGCAGGGTTGGTGGACTCTGAGGATGCTCAGTGGTCAGCAGGGATGAGAAGGAGGGGCAGCCAGGAGACTGGAGGCCAAGCTAGGCCCTGAGCTCAGAGGAGGCAGAAAAGGGCAGGGAGGGAAATTCAGCCCAGGAGGGAATGAGGAGCTTCTCAGGACTTCCCTCCCTCCTCCACCCCTGTCTCTCCTCACCAGCCCCCAGCCCCCAAACCTGCCACTCCCTGGTTGCTGGAGAACAATGTCCTGCTCAGGAGGGCTCTCCTCTCCCCAGTGTGGTGGGGCCTCCTGAGCTGCAGCCCAGGCTGTGCCTGCTTGGTGCCCAGCACCCGCGTACTAGTCCTTTCCTCTCAGCACGTAACACAGAGGAGGAAGTAAGACCTTCACACTGAGCCCAGGACCTGAGAGTTTCATGTTTTTTGCTAATGGTGCTCCTCTCTGCCCTGGCAGAAGGGCGGGCCCTGTGGGTGCAGGTGTGGCCAAGAAGGAGCTGGTAACAGCTTTGCATGGGGTTTGGGAGCGGGGAGCAGGGGTGGGGGAGGGGGCGGAGTCCTGGTGGAAGGGGAAGAGGAGGAAGTAGAACAGAGAAAAATTGTGCTATTGGCCTTCTGAGCACAGAGCTGGTGCCCGTGAATGAGGGTCAAAGAATAAACAAAAAACCCAGCTCTTCCCATCAGCTAAGAGACATTTATTCAGTTGCTGGCACCACCTCCCTCCTGCAGTGCGGTCCTGTATAGCTCCAGAGAAGATGGTCTGGGTCTTGCAGTTGGAGGCTTTTCATGGTCTCTCTTATCCAGGGAAGGAAACTGGCGACTTTGGTGTAGACCACTGGGGGTTCCCCATACTTGCTTCCAGAGGAGACAATGCCCTGGATCCCATTTCTACACAGGAGAGGCCCCCCGGAGTCCCCCTGTGGACAGAGAGAGGGAAGGACTGAGCCAGTTCTCCTGGCCCTGCCCTCCTTGCCACCCCAAGCCCCTCTCGGAGAAGGCTGCCTTGCATGGTGTTCACTTGGGAGATAAGCAGGAAGGCAGGTCCCCAGTGGTCCCCTCAGCCTGGACATTGTCACTGCTTCACTTCACCCCCAGTGGTGGCTCCCTCTGCTCCCCCAGGTCCCTGATCCTCTGGCTATGAAGGTGCTGCAGGACTGTGGCTGCAGCCTACTGTGTAAGGACCAGAGAGCAGGCAGGTGGGGCTGACACCCTTAACCAGCTCTGAGGAGCCACCAGGTGTAACTTCTGCACACCCAGGGAATAGTGATCTCACTGCATTGCCCCAGCTTGGGCCACAGTGTTACACATCCCCCTCCCCAGGGCAGGGCTACAGACTAGGGATATCCACACCGTGTTTGGAGTGACCAGAGGCCCTTGTAGGCTCTTGGAGACCCTATTCATCCCTGCTCTGGTGGCTTCCCTCTTTGATTTCTGGGGAGAAAAATTACAACCTAGAGGGTGAAGGAATCCACCCCCTGCCTGGGTCCCCAGGTCCTACTCTCTACCCAAACACCCTTCTCCCCAGAACCAAGCCAGGCAGATGTTCAGTATCACCTGAAAGGTAGTCTTATTTTCTCCTGGGTTCCCCACACACAGTTCAATGTTCTTGTTGTAATGGTTAAAGCGCCTTTTACACTTCAAATCCGCCTGCAGGGTCAGCTCTACCTCCTGCAGAGTGTCTGAGCCAGGGCCCCTCTGTGTGACCCGCCCCCAGCCGGCCACAGTGCACTTCTGTCCTGGCCTCAACGTGTTCTTGCTCCTGGGCAGTGGGAGGGGCTTCACAGCATCAGTTTGCTTGATGTTTCTCTCCAGCTGGTGGGGAAGAGGCAAGGGAGCCCCGGTCAGCCAGTGGTCTCTGAGCCTGGACACTGAGGGACACTTGAGTCACTAGGACTGGTCAGGTGGCCAGAATGGGAGGAAAGGACGGGGCAGTTCACAGCGAGAGGAGGTACAATGAGATCCCAAAACTGCAAGAGCAGCAGGAGGTTTCCTCACTGCAGTAACATGATGTCATAGGAGCCTTTCCTCTTATTATACTTTGGGTGCGGGATGGCTCTTTTCACCAGGACGACCTGTTGGGTCTTCTCCTGCTTTTTGATGTTGTGGGCCCCCAGGGTGACACTGATTGACCTGCACAGAGAACAGAGTGGGTGAGTGTGTGTGGGGTGGGGTAGGTAGAGTCATAGGAGATACGTCCCAGGAGCCATGAAGGGCTAGTGACAGCTGGAGCAGAGCAGGCCTACAGACTAGGGATATCCAGGTCACAGGGTCCAGGGGCTGAGTGACTCTGGTTCCCACTGACATGGAGTGTAGGGCTTGTGGGAGCTCTCTCTTGCCTTTAGGAAATATCATGAAATTGCTTGCGTTTCCATTTTGACCGTAATGCTTGTGTTCATGGTCCACCGCTGCTTTATTTGGCCATTGTGGTACTTCTCTTCTCCACGGTGTTACTCGCTGTCACTTCTGACTTTCAGGGCCCAAAGCTTACCTGTCCTATTTCCCAGCCTCTCATTGCTCCGTCATGATCTCAGAGGCCTCTCTGATGAGGTCTCATGGGCTTGAGTTACCGGGAGCCTGGGGAGCTGCCCTGGGCTGCAGCTCCTGGGAGGGAGGACAGGGTCCCTGTAGGGGTCTCAGGAGGTGTAGCCTGGCTGCAGCCTCTCACCTTCCATTGCAGTGAGCAGCTGTCAGAACATAGTTCTTTTGCACAAGGACACCGCCACACATGGACTCCTCCTCCTCATCTTCAATGTGAAGGTAGGCCATGTAGGGTCGGGAGTGGGGCTTGGCTTCATGTCCCCCGATGATCTCCCCTGAAGGAAAAATTCTGTTGTGTTTGTGTGCCCGCCCCCCCCCCCCCCCCCC